AGTTAGTGGGTTAGACTAGACTAAACTGAAACTGGCCTCCCCCCCCCAATAGGATACACAATTTTCATTGTTCACATGTTGCTGTTGTATTTTCCAAATAATAGTGGGTATCTATCCATTATTACCTAATTAAGAACTATATCTTATTACGAAATATTATGCTATTTTGTCCAAGAATTCATCACTCATCTGGACAGTATATTATACAAAGCTGGGACTATTCATTCATATTTTGCACAGCACTGAAACTATTTATTCTCTTGTTAAATCTATCTTATGCACCCTCAACCCCACTATTCTCCCTCCCTCCTATACTTCTTCCAGACCAGACATCAGGAAGCAGACTGTAAAGGCATAAGCAATTTATTGGCAAGATATTGTTTGTCATTGTAACCACACAGTTAAAGCAGCTTTGATTCTGTGGTTGGTCAAGAACAATACAGATGCTGCATACAGTAGGTGGGTAAGTTGTAGGTGTAAAATCAAAATACAATTGTTCCAGGTTAACGTCCCCAAAGACACTTCTGGAAGTCATGTGAATCTCAAATATTAAAATAAATATTACTGATTAATGGGACTGAAATAAGGTTAGCTTACTATCCCACCTGTTTTTATTTCCTCGTCTTTCATCATCTGGTAATATTTTTCTCTCACCTCAAAGTAGAGATGCCACAACCGTCTGTTGATTTCAGTTAGCATTATAAAGCTATATGTACTCTGATATTGTCTTGTATTGACAGTGAAGCAGACAGGTCAAATATGTAAAAGTCAATATGGCAATAGGACACAGCATTCTAAACAAAAGACAAGTAAAACAACTTTGATTGAGTGAGCCAGAAGATGGCTTTCGAGATGACTTACAAGCGAACATATTTTTCTCTCCCAATCCCTGTCCCATCCCCCCGCACACACCTTATTCCTGCTTCTCTCAGCTTCCTCCACTATCTTCTGTACTTGCCTTTCCTCCTCCCAGCTTCCTCCCCAGTCATTTGCTGCTTATTAGAGAGTCTCTCTGTCAACCTTGTCCCATCTAATTCTCACCCAATTACAATCTAAATGAACCACAGGACTGCTTAACTTGCTTTGCCTCTTCCCATTGTTTAATTTGTGACGGTAACAAACTCTGATTAGGCCTCTGCAAAGGTTCATAAATTAAGCACTCAAGGCCGAATTAGTCACCATTTCCTGGCAAGATAAATGGGCAATATTAAATTTTTCCATATGGATCCCACTGACAACAATAACACACTGTGAACAGAAGAAAACTCAATGACAAAGACTGCATATTTTCCGCACTCTGACATTTTGACCAGGGATGGCTGTGCATCACCAGCCAGTTAAATGTCACTTACAGAAAATTTCTGTCTGAGCTAGCTTAAAACCTGCATATGCAATGTTTGCAGTTAAGCAATTTTCACAACTAGCATCTGCGTTCCAGAGGTAAAACTGGGCCAATTTGATTAATGTCATTGTCTCAACATGAGGTGCATTGACGCCACAATAAAAGGTTTTCCAAAGACAGAGAGAATGAGTGAAAATAAGCAGAAAAAAAGTGACTTGAGGTACAGCAAAACACAAAGACATAACATAGGAAGAAAGAGAAAGCGGAAAAGATAAAAAGTAGTGTAATAATGAAAAATCCAAAGTGGGAGAAGCAACCAGCCAATGGCAGGGAAAACAGGCAATACCAAACAGATACACTGATCATCATCCAAGGAAAAGGAGAGCAAAAAAAAAAAAGAAAATGAAATGCAATTGCCTGATTTTGATAGTGGATCTAGTTTAGCATACAAACAGGCAGCAGATAATTAGTCTCAAGAGGTAAATCAGCACACACTAAGTGGGAAAAAAAAGCTCACAATATTAAAAGTGCCTGTACTCAGATGACAGGGCAGACACATAACAGGTTTAACTGTCTGGTGGATATTCTCATCCTTCCCTCACTTTATGATACATCACTTTTATCTCTGGTATATGGCATAATATATATTTAAAATGCATCAATTATTAAAACCGTGAAGTAGCTTCAAACAAGCAATGCAAACAACATATTTAAATCCAACTCAATATGCCCTATATACTACGGAATCCAATACACGCAGAAGGTGCCATCAGTCATATGGCTCCCAGCTCCACAAAACATTTAACTATTTAACTATGCATGTACTAAGAAAGGGCGTCAGTGCTTAGCATAATACTTCTATGACAACATGAACAGCGCCACTATGAGAGTATTACAGGCTGATCACCTCACCAATTCCTGTAAAACACCAATATAAAGCAACAGCCTACTACAGTCAAAAGACAACATTGTGATATGTTAACAGTTGACTGCCGGTTGGTAAAACATGCTCAGGTTATGTGACAAGAGGGACCTCAGACTGAAGCAATTAGTGTGATACAGCACTACATTTTGCTGATTTCCCAATATTTTTTATCAATAATAGTACATTCTGTCAGCTGCTGCAGCTCAGCCTTTCACTGAGCAATACACCTTATCTTGGTACTGATGCTGTCACCCAGACATATACAAAAAGAGGAAAACACAAATATGTTCATACACATTTGTAAAGCACATTGAGCTTACACTGTATGAAATGTGCTTGTACCATACACGTCATTAACACAGTCACACACACTGCTGATGTAAAGAAACAATTGAGTGAAGTAGGGATTGGGATGGAGACCTGGTTCTAAGGACCTGGTTCCAAATTTCCCTAAAACCCTAAAATTAATAAGGTTCAAGCTTATTGACACTTTGATCGTCTGTTGTTTCCAGCTTCTGGTTACCCACAAGCCCACCTTTCTAAAAGGGGAAGGCTCGGCTGAAAACACAGATGCAGTTAGGCTGTGGGTGGAGGAAGGATCAAATCCTTTACTGAAGAAAAAGTACGAATACCACAGTTTCAAAGTACTCCACTGCCAGTACAGTGGGGGTACAACAGAAGACTAATATAAAAGACGTGTCTTATTTTCTCTATTGTATATTTACCATTGCTCTATTTCTACTGCTTTAATAAAGCAAAAGTATTTCTTCTCCGATTACTTGAGTAATTGATGCAATAATAAATAGAATACTCAATTACTCGGATCATTAAGCAGTCTCAAAAATTTTATCAGTATCAATAAAAATAAACTATTCCCATCCCTAGACCTTAACAGAGAAAAAACGTTGCTAGTTTGAATACCCTGTGTGGTACTGGAAAAGTCTAGATGGTGATAGAAAGTAAGATGCTCTCCTCCCTTGAAGGCAATCAAGGGGCCCTAGAGAAAGGCACCTAAGCCCCAATTATTGTTCAATGGTCATCAGTACATGAATGGTTGTACAGGGCGGTTTCCACAGAGACCAACTCTCATATTCACAGCACAGGAAAAAACCCACACGCTCAGGGGGAGAACCAAAAAATGAAGCACAGAAAGAACCCGGTCGACCCCGGGCATTGCAACTGTGCATAAATCAAGAACAAAATACTTTGTCAGTTGGACCTTAAGCTCTGGAGACAAATGTTAAAATTACATGGGCCCAGTGTTTGTAAATCCAAAGCCATGACCCTCAATCAATTCTTTTCCTCTTCTGGTGTTCCCATCAGCCTCTGTGGCGGCATGCTGAATACTTTTTCTGCCAACACATGTTTATGCTATTGTACAGGAAAAGTGTCTGCACATTAACTGAGCTAGTACAAAATGCTTGCAGCACAGAGAGGTGGTATTCTTTTGCATTTTACTCCTGGTGCAGTGCTATCTTTCCTTATCATCAGCCTACTCCATCAATACTGGTTTCGATTTCTTTCTAAATGTACATATAGTATGTCAGCAATCAACATCTATATGGACAAGTACAGTAAGTACAGTTTGTGAGTATAATGAAAATGCCCATCACAGAATTGTCTAAAGGGATTTTCCATCAGGATATGTGTTACTGCAGCAGAATTGTAAGAAGCAGGTAAAGTAAATACACATAGCGAGAAAAGCAATTATCACTCAGAAAGCTACATTTCTGCACATAGTATGTATTAAAAAGAAATCAACTAACACACATCCAGAGGTAAAAAAAAACGAAAAAAAAAAAAAAACACATGCTGCAGGTGTTGAATAATAAACCAAAGAAATCCTCAGGGTCATGTTTAGGTCGAAAAGAAGCAGGCACAGAGAACACTGCACTGCAAGCAGTGAAACAGCGCCTTACTGTAGAGATGAAGACAACACATTATAATGGGCCTAATGCGCACAGAGGAAGTCACTTGTCAAATAGGAAGCAGTCAGCCCTGGAAATATTGCTGTTACAGTATCTTACACACAACCCACTCAATCTCACTGCCATGCACTACAATACAGCAAAATATACAGAACAGCTAGCCAAGAAAAACTTATGTGAATGCTTAAGCCATACACAAATGTATTTACAAATATAAAATATATAAAGTGGACTGAACAGCTGAGTAATTATTCATCTGGTAAATCTTTTCAACTTATAGAAGGGTTGTCACTTAGAATGAGAGATTTTAGATGCTTCCACTTCTTGTTTATTGAGTTTGGGGAGGATGGCAGGACATAGTGAAAAAAAACCCCACTATTTTCTCTAGATGCTGTCAAATGCAGCTGAATAAATAAACTGATGCCTGCCAGTCCCACAACTGGTTGGTAGATTATATCTTGGCATCCACTGACAACTTAGATGATTTAAAAATTAAAATCTGAAATGCTTTCAAACACTTTTCCTCTGAGGACTGTAGAGTAATAAATGGGATGCAGTAACAAGTGGTATTTTTCAGATTGTGACAGTTATACCCATCATCAGAGGTCTTCTCCATAAAAGGGCTGCATGGTCCGTTTTATGGGAGCCATTTAGATTTGAATTACGTCCCAGCAGCATTTCCCAGCAATCAGAAAACCAAAGTGTGTGCCAGAATAACAGCAAAAGAAAAAAGGTTTTGTCATGGAGCACAATATGGCATATTTTGAAAAATGCTGTTTGGTTTGAACACAGTAAGTGTACTCACATTGATCGATGTTCCCGTCTGCTTTCCCCTTCTCCTGCAAACAGAGAGCACACACAAAAGTGGTTATTACAGGCTTGGAGGAGTGAGACAAAAACAGCCCTTTCTGCAGCTTTTCGCGCACCATTCGTTACTTCGCCTTTTCCTCTTTTCTGGGTTCAGAGAAAGACGATGACAGAAAACAAAGGTGAACAGACGGAAAGAGAATGACAAAGAAAAGAGAGACAAGAGGCAGTGAGAGAGAATATATGGTGGATGACAGCAGAGAAACAGGCGGTAAAGGTAATTACGCTTTTTGCCAACAGGCTGCTAGATGGCAGGGCTTGACTGAATGTTTATTGGATATCAATCAATTGATACCACATGGCGTTTATTTGTTTCCAACATGGCTGCTATGAATGTCACTCTCATGGTTTTACAAATATCATGTTACTAGTGTACCGTAACTGGTACAATAGGTACACTGTGGTACACTGCCATATGTTAAATGAATATGCCAGGATATCAAACAATTGATACCACATGGCCAAACTCTGATTTATTTGTCAGTCTTAACTGTATGTATGTCATATGTTTGTTTAACACAGTTTTAGTTGTACTGACCTAACAGTATTATTATTGATTGGCACTGAAGTTCATGGTGAATGTGCAAACTTATGCATTGATCATAAAGCGAGGTAATTTTTACAAAAAATAGAATTGTCTGCAGTGACGGGGGAGAAAAAAAAAAAAGAGGAAAAAATTTTCCACACAACTAAATGTTACTAGTGTTATTTCATTATGTGGCAGAAAACAAGGTAAATGGAGTTTTAGAAAGAAACACAGGTAATAAAAGTGACATCATGATGTCTTGCAGTGTGAATTATTAATAATGATGTGAATGGAAAAATGTTTGGTTTGCGAAAGCTTTGAATGGTTGGACCCAACAGCTGTGTAGTGTAATTCGCTGCAACTCACTGGACATCAACTTTAATTATTGTTGTTGCTTTCAGTAAGAGTCCAGCCGACCTGAGTTGGTGTGTGTGTGTGTGTGTGTGTGTGTGTGTGTGTGTGTGTGTGTGTGTGTGTGTGTGTGTGTGTAAATTGTGCACATTTTGGCATGCATTGTGTGCTGGTTAGCTACTGATCACCTGTGCTTGTTACAGCACTGAGAATGTCGCTCTGCATAAATGCATCTAAACTTGAGATTCAATTTAGTGTACAATGGCAGAATAAAGGATCGACATGCTGTTTAAAAATAGAACAGAAGCAGGTCTTCCAATGCAACATCGCTTCTAAAGAAGCCAATATGTGGCGGCAACTGAAGTGTTGTGACATTTTGCATTCATGTCCCTCAGTGTAGATGTCAACGGTAATGAGGCTCAGTGATAAAACACGCGTGTGTCTGCAAGGCCCTCTTGACTTCCCAGGAGACTGAGCGCCTCACGAAAAACACAGCAGTTTTAGTGCATCCTGTCACTGCCTCCTTCTTTTTCTCTACATCTCTATCCCTCTCTTTCTGCCATCTGTCCATCTTAATTGCAGACGTGCTTCCTCATGATAGCAGGATAAAATTGAGTGTGCTCATCAGCACCGCCTTCCATCATCTCTAGTGCCGCTGTTTGATCAATTGATTAGAGAATCAAACCAAGCATAGAGGTGAAAGAAAGGCTGTGTGCCTCTTTCTAAAAATACTTTACCATGACTCTCCAGGGTTCTTTTTGTCACTTTCCTTTCCTTACACATCTAACTTAGGGGGATTTTCATGGCATAAAATAATAGGTTAGTAATAACTGAAGGCAACTGCTGAAATGTCACTTGAGGCAAAGTAGATTCACACACAGCTGATTAGGAGGCAGTTTGTATTTTTCTCTTTTAATGCAACACTTGCATTCTCACTTTCAGTGGGTGGAGAAATGTAACTAACTACACAAATTCCATTTGAGCAAATAGGGCTAACCCACTGGGTTTCAAACATTTTCTCTACCTAATTTCAACTTTGTGATAGAGGCTGATTAGATGGGTGTATTTTTACATACAGAATAACTGCCCAGTGCAGCTCTGATTATGCGATTATGAGAATAGTAGGGATGCTGAAAGCTATGTACAATAGGGGAGGACAGGAGACTCTTCTAACCTCTTCAGGTTGCTTTTGTTTGACTTATTCTCCCTTTCTTTCCACACTCATGACATAGTAACTATGTGTCTCTTGGTATGCCATATTATTATTTTCAAGACAGATTAGGCAACTCAAAAATGCCATCAATTGGCAGTATTTTAACAGTCCAGAGGGTTAAAGGAGATTTAACTACCTCAACCTTAGAGCAGCAAGTAATATGCACTGAAGGGAAAATGTGCCAGGCATGTATTTAATATGTGAGAGATATTGCAAGACTGAGTATTATTACAGTTATGCCATGGCCACCTACCACAGGAATACAAGGCAGGGTGTATTAAAAATGCGGTCCTGTTTTCAAAGTTTGTTGTTGGTTTTACTCACGGTTAGGTTTGTATCTGGTAGCAGCAGTACTGTTGCTATGGTTATAAACCTCGATTTGCACATCTACTATGGCTTCACATACTAAAGAAGCAGTCATGGTACTGTGAGCTGAATTAAAATAAAAACATCCTCCAAATGTCATGATAGTGTAGTGTTATTGATGTCACAGTCTGCTTCAAGTTTGCCTATTTTATTAGGTTTTGTGGTTTCAACAGAGTTTAAGTGTACAAACTCAATAAGATTGGTATAACCTCTCAAAAAAAAAGTAGCACAAACAAATCTCTGAAAGCTACGTGCCTCCATCTTGGATGCCATTTAAACACCCACACAAAACAAGAATCTGACACCGGTGCCACAGACTTACATTTTGTGGGAATGCAATTTGAACAGCAGGACAATTCAAGTCAAACTGTGTCTTACGAAGTATGGTTGAATATGCCTTTTTGTCTCTCTCTTATACGCAGTGCTATGCAGGCACTCTTGATTCAAGGACCCATATGTTTATATGTGCCCACTTAGTCCCTCTCCATCTCTCTCTGGCTCCTAATTCCAGTCAACAAAACTCTCTAGAATTAACTACCTGCATGCTAACACAATGTTGCAATTTCAATATTGTTACGCAGCAGCTTCGGTTATTGTCTGATATGTGAAGTATATTGATACCTTGACCTTTTTTAAGATACTGCCCGATTAGGACGAAGAGGCAGCCAGAGGGGGAGCAGGAAGGAAAGCTAAATCCGTCGGTGTCTGTGTTTTCACAAGAGTTCTTCTATCTACATTCAATAGTTATTCCCTCATGTCTATTGCTTAGAAAAAAAAGGGACCTGCTTTATCTAAAAGTAATTCATCAGTGCACCAACAAGCTTCTTAAAAAGGAGCTAAATGAAGAGGAGCCAAAAGAAAAAAAGCATTGGCAATGTAAGTGGTAATACCTTCACAGGCATAACTTTGATGAATCCTAAAATAGAACTTAAGCCTAACAAATTCCATCTTTTTGCCCTGCTTCATTAGCTGGAGTGGTTTCATGTTTCCAGTGATGCTCACTGGCACGATCTGTCCTCTAAACATTTTCATTTATTCAAAATGTTCCCTAGCTTCTAGAGACAAAGTAATAAACACTGCTTCACAACTTTTATACTTTTTAATACACTACCAGATATAGCACTTGTTAATTAATGAGCTAAATCATCTCCCGTGCAACCAAAACCACTTTCACAAATAACTTCCAAAACTATGAACAATAAATACTTTCTGAAAATGCTAGGCTAAATGTAACAGGGTTCAACATTGTTTTTCTTACTTGCCCCAAACTTGATCAGAAATCTACTTGCCCTAGGTTAACCCTTACTTGCCTCTATACGCTCATTACTTGACTACATAAATATAATAAATTATTACATCCAGCAGAGGGCGCGCCACTATGAGCTTGACCTATGGCATGCCCATTGACCCGTCAGTAAACTACACTAGTAATGTTATGTTGTTTACTACAAAAACACTAGTGAGCAAAGCCATCCACAGCAAGCAATTGCAACACCTAAGCAAAGTGCTTCTGTCGACTTTGTTCTAAGTAACTGTTCAACTCTAAAACGAAAATAAATCTGTGGACTAACCTGCTAACACTAGCTTGCCACCCAAGTGAGGCAGCGGAGAGGATGGACCACAGACGACCGGGGCAACGTCAAGTGTACAACCTCGTCTGACTGCTACTATCCGGCACGCTCAGCTTCAGCAGGCCCCTTGCCAGAAGCTTGTAAAAATGCCATCACCGATAAGATAGTAAGATTTATATGCTATAGATTTATATGGATATGTGGATATGCAGGCTATTGGTGTTATAAGAACGAATGTATAGTCTTTACCGTGTGGGGTCACTGTTGTACTCTGTGCTTTTAGATTATTTATTTGAAGTTATTCAAACAAATTGCAAATCATTTCAAATTAGTTCGAACTTGATTTTTGGAACAAGTGACAGCCTTACAGCATGCTCATACAATATTCAGTGGATACAGTGTTTGTTATTGATGATTAAAAAATAATTCTACCTAAACTATTAGACAAATCAGTAGTTGTCAACTCCTCTTTTATAGTTCAGAACAACAACACTGACCTTCAAGGGCAAATAATAATCCTAATGTCTAGACTTGGATGCAATATGCGAAGGACAAAATCTGGTTTTATTCATCAGGCTTGCCCTTTCCATGCCAAGTTCAGACAACCTGAGCGTTTCAGTAGAGATGCTGACTTAATTTTTGGTTATGACATATCACCTTTATTCATCTGCGCCCCCATCATCTTTACTTTTCCAATTTCACTCTTTTCTTTTTTCTTAATAAAGGCTCCATTATTATGTCTCTCTACTCTCTGTCTTTTCTCTCTTATTTTTTTTCTTCCCATATATTTATGTGGAAAGAAACAGCTAGGTAAAATAAAGTCACTTCATCCAGAGTTTCATTTTATTGTAATTTATTTGTCTGGCAAAATTATGTTAGCTTCACTACTATCCGGAGACAACATTTTTTTAGAAGTTGCTTTATGGCTTACCAGTTGGATTACAC